TCCGCTCGCAATAAACGTGCGCCGCTCTCCACTCTCTTTCTTTCTCTCTCTCTCTCACTTCTCCTTCATCCTTGTTGCTGCTGCAAACCATTTTTTTGTTCAAACTCTTCTTTACCTCTTCAGGAGAGGAAAGTGCCCGGGGGATGTGCAGTAAAATAGAGAATAAGTGGGCCGTTTTAATAATCCTCCCCCACGATCACCTCGTGCACTCGCACTTGCAGACTGTGAGCCTCAGACGCCTCCCACCAAATAACGGGTCCATTTATTATTGTTTTTGGCAGCGATCGGCGAATTTTTCGATTAAATAAATTGCAAGATAGATAGACATGCAGATAGACGCGTTCACAGCGCGCCGACCGTGCAATAATAATAATATAAAAAAAGTAGAGAGTGTGCACGTAACGCGCGCGTCCCCCCGAATCGAAATCGAATTTTATCGCTGCGTCGATTTCGGAACATTACAATTACGTATTTCGCAATAAAATAAAATTAGTTCTACAATTTCTGCATCGACGGACTGTGAATAAACGCAATAGACACGTTAACGTTTTCATTAGCACGCTGCAACTTGGTTTTTCGGTATCGCGTCCGTTGCGTGCTCGATAGATGGCGTAACTAAATTTTCAATTTACATCATTTTTCTTTCGACGACATGCTCCGAATATATTGATATCCTGATTTCGTTATTTATTTTATACAAAACAATTAATACTAGCACCAATTTTCCTGTATTATTTATGTACAAAGTGTGGGCTAATTCTATCAAAAAATCTGTATGAACCATTTTTGAATCAGTAATACAAGTGAAAAATAATGAAATTTCAGTTCAAAATTCCCGGTTTAGTCCTAATATAAATGCAGCGTCAAGGGTTATGATAGATAACAATTAATATTATTTTAATTCAGAAAATTTAATCAAATACGACCTAAAAATGTCTCAAATTAAGAATAAATTTGGTTACTTTGAGGCTTTTTTTACAATAAATTAAATTATTACCAAATATTAAATACATATTATCTCAATTCAATTATGAAAATATTTACAAATTGAGAATTAATATATATTTTTTTTGTAGAAATTATCAAATATTACTACAAATTTTGCATTAATATCATATTTTTCATAATTTTAAATAGTTACCTTTTTATCATATAAACTTACAAGCTTTAAACAAATTTATATTTATAAATTAAATTCCAGAAGAGTTTCCAAATGTGAGGAGGTGACTAAACAGATAGAAACTATTTCAAGTTTATGAATATGTCTGTTGCCTTGTTTGTGGTCAAGATACTTAAATTGGACGTAAAACAAAGCATTCAGTTATATAATTAAGTGCTATAAATCTATATCAGAGTAAGAAAACAAATCACGAAATTCTGAAAAAAAAAGTATTTCTCTTCATTGACTCTTTTAAATAAGCAAAACAACCAGTGCATTATTTTGTATTTTATGTGTCATATAGTGAATATAAAGATTAAAAACTACTTTTGTTTAAATTTTACTTCAGAACATTAAGTTTAGGGTCCATTCTAAGAAGCTATTTACTTTGATTGTATTGTTTTCCTAAATATTCGCAATTTCTGAAAATAAATGTTCAGATGGTCCAATTATGGCAACTCAATATTAATATTATGTTATATATTCTGTTATTATATCTTATTTTATAATATTAATATACTAGCAATAATATGAATGCAATATGTTTTAAAATTTTAACAATAGATGGCGTAATTCAAATTGAATCTGTAATTACTTTTATTTATTCTTAAAGAAATTTAAAGAACTGAACTTAAAATAAATGTTAAGAAAATTTCTTTTTAAGTTTTTTTTTTATTATTTAGACCAAATAGCTCAAGTATTTTCTAATATTTTGAGAAATTTATTACAATTTGTATTCAGAATTGAATAAATTATTTAGAGAAATACATTTCTCATATATGTATTATATATTTCTTTATATGTCGATATTTCAGTCCGACTAAATTTATTTCATCTTAGTATATTTTTTCTCTCTTGCAACTCTCCTTTTTAATTAAAAGCGCTTTCCAGTTCCGAGCTTAATTAGATAAATATTGCACACGTACATAAAGAGAGGAAACGAAGAGACGAGGAGGAACAAACAACAACCAAATAAAAAGCAAGCGGGGGCAAGAAAAAGATCGGCTCCCGTTCAGTTTTTTTTCTCCTCCTCTTCATCCCTCCAACCCTCTCCTATCCTTTATCCTATCCACCTCTAGCCCACCCCCGCAGCACTGAAATTTAATTAAATTAAACTTTAAAGTTCTCTCCACCTCGAGAAAAACGGAGCGAAAAATAAATAAGTAAATAAATAAATGAACGCGCATACTTCTTATATATACATTTTTTATAGTACAACCACGTTGATGAAGTTTTTTCGCGGTTTCTTCGGTGAAAATTAGCGCCGTCGCCTCTTTGTTATTCTTATACCTCGTCTGTTTTTACCTGTCTTCCTTTGTTTTTCGCTTCGCCGAATGTCAGAGCGCTGACATTTATTTTTTCACGGCCAACATTTCAATTAGCATTTGCGTCAGATCAATTGCCAATAGTCTCCCTCTCTCTCTCACTCTACCCCTGTTATTACATCGAATCGACTCGACCGAATTCCGAGCGCACTGTTATCGCGTAATTGAAGTTGCATAACGAAAAAAAAAAGTAAAATAAAATTGGAAGGAAAAATGGAGGAGCGAGAAAACATTTTTTTTCTTTATTCTTCTACGTTGTTTCAGCTTTTTTATATGTGTGATATAACTGTGCAGAAACATGAATACTCGCGCTTTACTTTATTATTATTAACATGCAGCGCCCCCTTTCGCACGAAAAATACGTGATAAAAAAATGGTTGAAGTGTGTAAGGAAGGAAGAAAAAGGGAGAGAGAGAGAGAAAGCTCACAATTTTATTATTATATATATTTGGAGTTATATTTTCGGTGTGTGTGGGGTGGCCAGAGATTTAATCTGGTTCGCGTTTTTCCACCGCGCCCTCGGATCCCGTGTAATAAATAAAGATTGATCGAAACGGAGAGGGCGAATTGCAATCTCGCAAATTAGGCCTTTCAAAATAATCCATACCAATTACTGACGATATTCCAAAAAAAAATATAAATTGTTCAAGTTTCGAGCAAAAAATAGAAGTATATAAGTTTTCATGCAAAATGTATAATATATCAATTTGTAAAAACAATTATTCCATGTTAAGTAAATTTTTACGGAAAAAATGAGCTCTTCACTGGTGTACTGTAGTATGAAAAGCTGGAATGAAATAATTACCAAATAAATAATTAACGTTTTTCTCATACAAAATAAGCAAGATGTTCAAATTTAAGAAAGTAAAATATAGCCGGGTTTACAAAAATAATCATGTTGTAATCAAACAAATTCAACCTTCCTAAGATTACTGTGCAACTAAATATCTCCAAATCAACAATTATAATAATGTTGTTAAAAATCAGATATAAACAAAACCTTAGTCATGTTACCAGAATCGGGTAGACAAAAGCCTTGATTAAGTATACTTCTGAAAAATCTTATATTTTTATATGAACCCAAATTTGTCTGTGTGAATGTTCGTAAAATCAGAATACCAAGAAAGGTACAGGTTTTAAATAAGGTTGTGGTATTAAAATTAGGAAAAGTTGATCTAGAGAGATGATGCAAATAATAAGTTTAATAAGTTGTCTCACAAAAGTTATCTAAAATATATCATTCAAAGAATAAAGAGGTAGTTTAGATGTAGATAAATTCATTTTATATGGAAAGAAATTGTTAGATTCGCATGTAATCAAATACAGTGGAACATCGCTTAACAAGTAAAATAAATTGTAAGAAAAATGACGCACTAAATGGAACACATTATCGTATATTACATTGGTTCATATGAGGAAAATTGATTCACAATACGAGTAAAAATTCGAAAATTTTTATAGACTATTATATGATCTTCGCATTGTAAAAAACAATTATATCATTTGTACATTTTGAAAATTTCCTTGTTTTTTCAACTTTTAATTGTATTTTTCTCTCGTTAGGAGAAGGAATTATTTTGCATTACTTGTAAAGGAATTGATAACGACTGATAATGTTTATTGTTAAAGATCTGAATAGTTAATTTATTGCAAGTATTGATGTTATAAAACGTTAATTTGCAAAAACAAAAACAAATAGAATGTAGTATTTTATTGTTTAGGAATGTTTTGAGTATGGTAGGGATTTATAAATAAATTCCCTTAAAAATCTCTTAATTATTCAAATATAAATAAAATATGATAAAAATACAATGTGTAAAAACTTATTGAATACATATTTGATAATATTTCAAATATGTCAAAAATAGTTATTTTCTATAGTATAGTCCAAAACTCAAATTAAATACACGATCTAAAAGTCGGGTGAAAGCAGGCGAAAGACCGGATTTTAAGACAAAATCCCAACCTATTCATCTTTTACATCTGCAATATCAGACGCGCACATAAGTTCAGACCATATAACTATGTCTCCAAAACTATAAGCAATTGAAATGTATGGGCCGCGTTAAATAGCTCCAGGACCAGATGCAGCCCGCGAGCTGCCAGTTTGAAACCACTTGTCCATCAATTATGATGTTAATGTAATATCTAAATATAATAAAATAATTACGTGTCAAAATTTAGTTATGTATTTTTCTAGTAGATGGCGTCAGATGAAAAAGAACATTTTCTTCTTAGTGCGCCAGGAGATTGTGACGCGGATGCAATAAAGGGAATTGATGGTGGAGGTGGATAAGGGTGGGGGTAGGTTCGGCTATAACGACTGCGAATGGGTATCAATGTCGTAGTCTGAATGCCACCAGCCGCCTCCGATTCAATAGATAGATTATGCAGCGAGAAAAGTACATTACGCTGACTGAAATCCCTTTTATAGATTCAGCTTTAGACTGCGACAATTTTTTGCTTATACAAGGATTTACGTGCGCTTGCATTTGTTTAATTGATTGATTGCTTACCCGATCCCAAGGGAGTGCTGACCGTCCTCGCGGTGACGGCTGGAACAGGATCCTTGCTGTCCTGCAGCCCTTCCAGCGCCTGCACCAGGATGTTGTCTTCGCGATATCCTCCGGTTTCAACAGCAGGTTTCGCCGCCTCTTCCGTTGCTGCAGCGGTGGTGGTTTGTATGAAGATGTTACCGTTATCGTTGCCGCTGAGCAGGAGGATGGGAGCGCCACCGGCTCCGCCGAATCTCTTCACCGATTGCAGAAAAACACCTTCGGCAAGATCACCACCTTGCTGTATGAAAATTTGCCCCAGCTTGCCGCCTCCTCCTGCCTCCCCCGCATCTTCCAACACTGCCAGACGGTTCGTGGCCGTGCCAGCAGTTTTGGAAGACCCACCATCTGCTCTGAGCAGAATGTGTCCGCTGTCGGAGGTCTTTGCGCCTCGCAGGAAGATGATGTTGCTCCCGTTGAGAGCCTCCCCGCGTCCCACCAACTTCCCATTGGCATTGTGCATCTTACTATCTGCAAAAAAGCAAAAGAAGAACGATAAAAAACAAACTAAATAAAACAGAACGCAGAGTCAGGACCTTTTCCTTTTTTATTTACACCCTCGCAATTTTCATGCGAAAAGCAATACATTTTCTTGTTCTTCTATTTTCTTAGACAGCAATGAAAAATCTCATTAAGTCCACTTTACGACGGTTTTAAAATTGCGCAACGGGCCGGCCCACGATCTTCGACCCCGCTAATTCCGTATTAAAAACGATAACTTTAATTTAACTTTCTCCGCGTTTCCGCAGCTTCTTTTTTTCATTTCTTCTTTACTCGATACAATATTTACTTAAATTCAATTTACAAATTGTAATTTAACATTTCTCAAAATTATAATTAATTTTACTAATTACATTTTTTTAACTATTATTACAAACTTCAAATATGAATTGTTTTTTAGAAAAAAAGTTCCCTGTCTCAGTTTCCGAACAAAAATAAAATCTGTGTTACGTAACTAGAACATGTTTACATAAATCTTAAACGCGTCAGTAAACGAACAAACGAACTTGTTACTTGTTACTATGTTTGTTGCACGGCATACACATTTTCACATATAATACTGAAGACAATCGAATCTCGAACGCCTCTGTTCTCGAACATTAATACAATTTCCGATTCGCGGAATGAAAATTTTCACATAAATTTAGAACTTTAATACGGTTCTCAAATAAAAATACAGTTTCGACGTGAACATTTTCAAATAAATCTATAAGTTTTATAATTTGAAACCTAGAATCCCGAGGGCCTCGGTTCTCACACAAAACTACAAATTCCGTTCCATTGTATACAAATTCTATAAGATTAAAATTTTGAAACCTCTAATCTGAAAAAAAAAGGTTCGTTCGAGACCATAAGACAAACACGTCTCCGTTTCCAAACACATTATTCATCATAACCACTAATGTTAATTTGTTAATCTTAATTATATACTAGTAAATAAATGGTTTAGCAATGACCACCAAAAGAAGTGCAATAGAAGAGAAATAAAAATATTAAAAAAAGGAAATTCTAAATAAATAATAAAACAGAATTATTCAGTAATACATATATTTCAATTTGAATAATTCAGTAATCATAGCATTAATAAGTCATAGTATAAAGTAATACATCTGACAAACATTTATGCATATTCATTTTTTTTTATAAATTCTCTAAGTTATTTGCATTACAACTTCTATCGCAATATTTTTGTAACATTGTAAATTTTAATTATACTAAATTATTTATGAGTCATTTGTTACACCAATTACCATCAAAGAAGGTGCAACAGAAGAGAAATAAATATATTATAAAAAAAGTTGCATAATTGTAATAAAAAAAACTAAATATGTAGCAATTTGAATTACTTAATAATCATAGTATAAATATTCATATATTAATAAGTCAGAGTATAAAGAAAACAGAAATCGTTTGATACAGCTGACAGAAATTTATGAATATATTCATTACATTTTTACAGATTCTCCAAGTATTTTTTATTACAATTTCAATCTCTATATTATCGTAACAAATTAAATATTAATAATTCACAAATTAATATACATTTTAAAAGAAATGATTATGAATAAATCTCAGTAAACAAAAATTACTTGTCTGAACTTATTGTGTCGATATAGAATTGAATCAGTGGATGTTTTGTTTAAATCTAATCCGGTTTAACTTTTTTGGACATTTTCCCCATTGCGAATGAATAAGTAAATATAGAAAAAATCTGAGAGCGAGGAACAAACACCGCTCTAAATATTGGAATTTCCCGTGAGATTGTTTCCGGTTGGGCGCCTATTTGTCTTGCGGTTTCTGTGGATACAATCTCTCTCTTTCTATTTCCGTGTATGTACATCTCTTTTTCTCTCTCTGTCCATCTTTTATTTTATTTATTTTATCTATTTTGTTTTTTTTTCTTCTTGTTCGTTCTGGTGTGTTCCTCATCCAAACGAATTCCCATCAATAAATCGACCCCCTCGCCCTTTACATTATTTACACGACCCTCTAGATCAAGAAGAAGAAGAAGAAAGAAGAGGAAAAGGAAGGAGGCGGCGGTTCGAGATCCCGGAAGGAATCGTGCGAAATATGTGTGTTATTTTATTAATGCACGGCTGGTGGGGTGAGAGGGCGCGCGCGCGCGCTCACGCTATAAATAAAACCGGAAATGAAATATTCATCGCCGGAAATAAAAATCAAATAATGCGCGCGAGGAGCGGTAAAAACAAACAAATGAGCGAGGGTTGTTGGCGAAGTGGAAATCTGCGTTTGACACATGTGGGCCGCATGCATCGCAGCTGGCGGCGGCGATCAACTGCATTCATAGGGGGAGGAGGCGCGCACGAGGTGGTAGCGTGGAGACGGGGCTGAGGAGGTTGGTCGGTAAACAACACCGGATTTCAAACGAGGCGGCGGCGGTGGCGGCGTTGGCGGCGGCAGCGCTGTAATGGAATAATATTCAGCTTCAGCGGCTTCGCCAACTGCAACTTAGTTTACGTGTCTCGGCCGCCCGCGAATCTTGCCTCAATTACTTTGAACACTAATTGTTTGCGCCTTCCACCACCCCAAATAAACCCATCCAAAACCCTACCGTCACCCATCACCCAAAATCCGAACGAAAACACAACCTAACCTAATCCGTAATTCATGCACTTTCCCTATTTGTTTTTCGCGTAATTCATCGTCGAAGGGTTGCAAACAAAAACGCAGTTGTTTGTATTTAATGGGGTGCACCCGACCCGACCAACGTCCATGGCACATATATATACATACATATCTGTGTATATATACTATATAGATGTATGTAGTATAGAGGTTTTCGGTTTGGGAGACGACCTTTTGGCAGAGACCCAGATAGGTCCGACCGATGCCGCCCATTACTTTCTGGTGGGCGATGCAGGAGGATGAGGAGGTTGAGGGGTCAGTTGGTTCGGTTCACTCTTTTCGTTTGTTTCGTTTCGCAAAATGCAGCGCGGCCTGTCCCCACTGAAATTCGGGAAAAGCCTTTTCCGATAGAAAACGGAAACAGATAAATTTTATGAAAAATATAATGAATGGAAATGGCTCGCAATTGTGGAGATTTTTGGTAAATTAACTTTCGCGTCCCGGAAAAGTGGGTCATCGGGAAATGCCGCAGCGAATCAAAAGACTCCCGCAATTGTCGAATAATGAGGAACAATTGCCGCCGTTACAGATATTCGCTGTTCATTATTATCTTTATTTATAGTTTCCTTATTCATTTTTCAAATTTTATACAATGTTTGATCTTCATCGCGCACAATAATTTACAGATTGAAATATTATATTTTTCCTTTTTTGGAAAAAACTTGATCTTGTGCAATAATTTATGACTTTACAGACATTCCCAATTATATATGTTTGTTTTCTCTTCTTTGTTTTTTCTTATGTTTTGCGATGCGAGCGCATTAATTTGCATAAGTTCATCCGTGGGGGGTGGGAGGACGAAAGTTCGTTTGTTTAATCGCGTGCGCGCCGCGCGGATTCAGACTTAAACGACTTAAAGACGAATTAAGATTGAGTTACGGACGGGATCCGATGCACGTATTAACCGCGAAAATTGTAGACCACCCACCGATTTCCTCCTCGCTTTTCCACATAATTCCAAATAGTTTTCCACATCATTCCTTCCTTTAACAATAGATTTATGGACATTGATTTTATACAATGCATTTTGTAATTACATTCATTCAATTATTTTATTCAAAACATGAAACATATTTATGATATTCAAAAAAAACTAACTAATATTACCCACATTTCTTATATGTCATTAAATTCAAACTATAAAATATTGTATTCATTTAACTATATAGTCTAAAAATTAAACATATTTATGAAATTGTAAAAGTTGTTAAATCTAAGATTTTGTTATCCAATATTAACTATATTTTAAATCTCATTAATATCGAACTACAAAAAAAATGAAAACAACATAACTAAGCAAAGGCCTTCAACAACAAGAAAAAAAATTGTAATACAGTTAAATGCCAATTATCCCGTGATTCAGGTAATCCGTGGTCGTGGTAATATTATTGTTTATTTATTTTATAAGCTCAACAATAACATTTTCTCTGCAAATCTGCCGTTTAGTAAATAATTTTAAAATGAATACAATAAAAAAATGCAGATTACCTTTTAAAATGATTAAAAATGTGTTTTTTGTATATCAATAGATAGATATTATGTTTATAAAAGCGATGTTTGAATTAACCGTGTTTTTCAATTATACGTGCTTTGACGTTCCCAAATTACCACGTACAATCGGCGATTTACTGTAACAATAAAATTTATGAAAATTCAAATATTATTCAATTTTGTCAGAAAAATAGTCAAATAAACATTTGTCAAATTGAACAATGATACATAAGAACGTGTCAGGTTCATAACAATATAGTTTTGGTTCGTTCTAACGTACTTTAATGTTCATATGAAGGTAAGAAAAACGTTAGATACATACGAATATTTTAGGTTTGTACAAATGTATTTTAGATTCACAGGGTAACACAAGTCCATATACAGTTTTTAACAGTTGTTATAAGATAGTCACCACATGACTGAGAGAGAAAAAGATTTCGAATAATAATAGTGATAATGTAGGTATCTATAACTTTTGAATTAAAAACGCAAGAAATATTTCTTCAATTATTCACGTTAATTAATTTATATTTTGTATTACAATGATTTACAATAGTTGCGTCCATGGATGCAATACTATAAATTACCACAAAATATTGATGGGAAAATTTCCGTCGGTTGATGAACACATCACTGAAAAAACAGGACAATTATGATTTTCTAATGTTAATGTTAAATACAGTTCAAGTAGGAGCAGAACGAATTAATTATGATATAGAATTTATTAATTTGGCTTACTGAAAATCTGAAACTATAGAAGAAGCTTAGATATACCAGGAATTAGGAAATTTGTAGGATCAAGAAAATCTATGAAAGCGGAGTTTTGCATTAGC